TATAATTGTTATCTTATCCAATGTGGATATGTAATTCCATCAGATACTTATCAACAGTTTATTATAAAAGTCTTTTGTGAAATTATCTTCATGTCGGTCAGACTGATTATGATGATCTTTTTATATAACCCGATATTCCACTTCTTACTGTTTTGTGTGTGTGGAGCTCCTTGCTTTTACTATTTGTTTCATCTTTCCTTTATGCCCCCTTAGACATAGAGGAAAATGGTATTAAAACTTTTCTCACTGAACGTGAGGGGCCTCAATATGCCTCACAGGAGACAAATGCTATTTAAGGAAGCAAAAAAACAAAGATCTTTTGTACTTCTCATTGAGGAAACACATTTAAAAAAAATTGTATGCCTCATCGTATGTTAACAGTTTATCCCACCCCATACCACTCAATATTTACAAAGAAATCAAGGGGAGTTTCCATATTTTTTCACAAAAACTTAATTTGCAACACCGACAAAATAATTACTGACACTGACGGACGCTATATAATTTCAATAGGTACGATTGGTGGTGTGAGTTATATTCTGGCAAACGTATACTTCCCTAACTTTGGGCAATAACAGTTTTTGAAAAAAATAATTACAAACATTTTCAAGAATGTTCAGAGTAGATTGATCATTGGAGGAGATATGAACTTTGTGCTGGATTCTGAACAAGAAATTAAAAATCCTTTTAAAAATTATCGAAGTGAGCAATTAGCGAATCTAAGTTCCAAATGTATTTTCTCTCAAGGATTATTTGTTGCTTGGAGAATTCAAGATGAAAACGAAAAAGATTACACCTATCATTCCACTGACAGGTTTTTGAAAAATTAACAAAATATACCTTATATAATTTCGTCCAATATTTTGGACATTAATTGGGCAGACCATGCACCCATTATGCTGCATTTAGAAGAGTATTTCAGAAACAAACAATGGCGTCTTAGTGACTACTTAGTCACAGGTTTGGAAACAGCATTACGTTGTCCAGGCCAAGCTCACCAGCATCCATATTGCTTTTCTTTTAATATTAAAAATTATGGGGCATCAAATAGCACAACAGTCTGGGTGTGTGCTTTCTGTAAAGTATTTTTGGGCTATGTCCTGTAGTTGGCCTACGGCCTCTTTATTGTTGAAAAAAAAGATTGTTTAATTTTCACTGGGAAGTGGTGTTGGGCAGAGTAGGGATGATCACATCCATGGTCAGATTGGCATGATCCGACCAGGTGATCGTACCATATGTGGCTGATTTAAGCAGAGGGAGATGTCTCTGTTGGAGGAACAGCTTATCAATGTGTGAGTAAGTACCCTCGGGGGGATGGGTGGGGGCGAGAAGAAGGAATAATTCCTTTGTGTTCATCATATAGTTGAGCATCATGTAAAGTGTTCTTCATGATTTTGTGGGCGTGTGCGAGATAATCTTGTGAGTTAGCAGTGGTGTCTAAGTCCCCATCCAATGTGACATTTAGGTCTCCTCCCAGGATTAGTATGCCTTCCTGAAAAGGAGATAGTTTGTGTAGCATCTTTTGTAATGCTTGATTCTGTTTCTTGTTTGGGAGATAGCTAATGTCACTTGTGTGTTTCCCACTTTCCCTTTCACAAATATGTACCTTCCTGAGTCATCTGTCTGTTGATCCTAGAATGTGAATGGCACCTGACTCCCCACCAGTATCGCCACACCTCCAGTTTTGTTTTCTGTGTACTGATTAAAGTAACCTTTTTGGTAGCTGCGGTTTCAGAGCCTTGGGGCGGAAATGTGTCTCCGCTTTGTGTCTATGGAAATCTGACTATGCCATAGACTGTTTTTCCGGAGTGTTTAAACCCCTGACGTTGTGTGTGTGGATATTTATCAAAGTCATATCCTTGGTTCCTAAATGGGTGATTGGGTGTTAAGTGAATTTGTTATGTGTCTGCGTGTGACTTATTGACCTGTGTTCTGGTTTGATGTAGGTGAGCAATTTACTCTCTGCATATAGTCTGCAATAAGATTCAAGTGTACAAGGGAAAGACTGTGATATATCAGTATGTATCAGTAAGTCCAAATATCTACAACGGTAAATAAGTTCAGTCTCTTCCATTTCTTTTGGTGGACCTTTTTCCTTACTTGCGTCTAAGTGACCAGTTGTCTGGTTGGATACGAACAATCACTTAACTATTGGCATACACTCTGCAATTTGCTACAATCTTACATGGAAAAAATAGTGACGTAGCAGTATATAACAATGATTACAACAAATGTAAATAATGTTACTTATGTAGCTTCTTTGGTTTGAATGTTTGTGGTGTTAATTTTATGCGAGGTGGTGATGGTCACCCGCTTGCTCGGTACTTTCACTTTCCCTTAGTTATAGGGATGTGTTTATTTTGGATGAGGTGCATTACAGGTTATATCTGTGGCGAAAGTAACCTTGCCACTGCTTCTTGGATGGGCCTGTTTGCCAGCCTTCTGCCTCAGGACTATGGGCCATGCAAAATGGCTCATAAAAGACCTTGTTCATGCCTTTTTGTTATTGTTTGGTAGATTGCATTCCCCTCCTATTCTTACATTGTCCTGTTTGACTACCGAACAACCACACGAACCAGGGACCACCCAGGAGTTTGTTAACACCCATTAACACTTTGGAACTGTTCTCACTGCAGTGTTCTAATTGTTCGTCTGGGTGGCCGCAATTCCTATGGACAACCATGAGGTGGCAGCCATCTTGTTCCCATGAACGCAGGCAGCGGTGTTTGGGTATGAATCTCATGGAACTAAAATCGGACACAAGAACTCCTGAACACCGCTGGACTTCCATCATCACCTACGTTCGGTTCTATACAAGTTAAAAGGGCACTGTTCAGTGAAATCGTTCATCTGGATGAGGGGAACAAGCTCCAGGGTAAGAACATTTCGGTAGTTTGTTTGTTTTCCAACTAGACCGACCGAAAGCCCTGATTCTCTGGAACTGTTTTAGGCATGGGACCATGCGTGCGGTCGGTCAAAAATAAGAAATTCCTGAACCCCTGAACCGATCTGGGTGATTTTTAGATATGTTGTTCACCCAGATTGGGGCTATCAGGGGATGTAACTTTTGTGGGGAGTTTGTAAGTATTAAATGTACTTGTGGTTTTTTTTAAAAATGTGTGTTTTTGTGTCTGGAGATAATTGAGTTAATACAGTACTTGACTCAATTATCTCCCAGGTACAGAGGAGAGATTTACCTAGTTATGTGTGGGAGTATCCTGGATCTGAGAGTAATTGTGTATTTGTTTCTGCTGTTGTTTATTCTCATGTCCATGGGGATTGCCCCTTGCATGGGGACTTGCATAAAAGGCCAGTTGTGGCTACCATTAAACAAGTTCCTGCTTACCCTCAATATAAAGCCTCATCTCATGTGTGGGGGAAACGGCTGTATCTACCCTGGGGATTGCTTTATCACTATACTACTCTGGGTTATAATCACTTGCTCTTATAAGAGCAGCCTGCTACCCTCTCTGGAATAGGTGAGGTCTTCCCACTGGAAGCTGGATCCTGGTCTTAGGTCCAGGGTGGGTGCAGGATGGTGAGACCCCAGCTGGAAGTGGGGACTATGGTGCTGATGGTGTCTGGTGGAGTTCTTGGAGTCCTTGGTGAGCACTTTGAGCATCGATTGGTGGAGGCACCCGGTCGGGGTGCCAGGTGGCCTGTCATAATACCCTTTTGTTATTATATCTCTTTCTCTGTGCAGAAGACAGAACCCAAATTATATGAGGGTGTGTGACAAGTTCAAGACCCTGGACTTGGCAATCCTATTCAATATAGTGGAGATTTAGGAGACTTGTGGATAATGTGGGTGGTAGGGTAATGGGGGTATTGGGATAAGGATATTTACAATTTATTTGTGTCTCATTCAATGGAGACCAATTGAGTAGTGTCAAAACTGTTTGCTGTGTCATTGCATACAACATTAGCGACTGTTAACAGAGGGATCTCATCAGTTTCATATTATTATTATTTTATTATTATTATTTTATTATTTATATATAGTAGTTGAGTACTATTATTTAAGACATATATTCATGCACAGTAGTAATATTTATATGACCTGATTAGTGTTGGTATGTTTCAGTTTGTCTGATAATTCTTGTTCAACCAAGTACATTTGTTGGTGTTGTGGAGGTTTAGTCTTTTTTGTTGACTCAGTGAACTTTCCCATGATCGTGAGTGGCCTGTATTTGGTCCTTTCCAGGTTAGACCTTGTTGTCCGTTAGAGTCTGTGCTTGAGAAAGTATTTGGATCTTCTTTGTTGAGTCTTGTTGATGAAAGGAGCACAGTCACTTGGTCTTGTAGCACTACTGTTTTCAATTGGTTACAGTTCTGGAGTTTTTAACAGCTTCTTCAAGTCGCCCTCTTTCAGGAAAAGTGCCCCTTAATGATGGCTGTCTCCTTGAAATGGCGTCTGTCTGCGATGAGGGGAGAAAAGACGTTGGTCTGCTCTTCTTTTCTTTGCCAGGGTGTTCCATCTTTGCTGTTGCAGGAGGCTTATAGATTCTTGATGTGGTTGGGGAGAGTTCCAATCCATAATTTGTGTGTCGGGAAGATCAAGCGCTCTGAGGAATGGGTTCACGTCCATAGGTGTTGCTATCGAATAAGTGTTGCCTTTGTTGGTAACTATGAGGGAAAATGGGAAACCCCATTTGTATTTAATGTTGTGGTTCCCAATGTGTCTTGTGATGGGTTTAAGTGCCCTTGCAATGTGTACCAAGATAGGTCTGAGTATATTTGTATTGGGTTTCCATGCAATAGGAGCGGTTGTGAGGTGTCTCTTAGGGTCCTTATGATAGTGTCTTTAATCGTGAAGTAATGGACCCCACATATAACATCCCATGGGGCCTCTGATGTCGATCCTCTGTGGCATAAGGATCTATGGGATCTGTTCAATATTATCTGGTTGTTGCTGGCCTCCCCGAGTATCAGTTTGAAGAGTTCAGTTAGGGTTGACATTACATTTTCCCCTTGGGCCTCCGGTAGGCCTCCTTTGCGTATTATTTCTGCAAGCCCTGATTGTCCAAATCATCCATTTGACGTTGCATGGAAGACATAAAGTGTGATTTAGTTTCTATTGTCGAGGACAGGTTTGTCATTTGGGCTTGTAGAACATCACGTCTGTCTTCTAAATCAGTAACCCTGAGACTTACTTGATTTATGTCAGAACCCATCGCCTCCATTTTAGATTGGAAAGTCGCTTCCAGCTTCCCTAACATGTTCGTGAGGTCAGTTTTGGATGGCAGGTTCCGCAGTAATTCTTTTATATCTGCCTCTATCCCTGTGTCCATTGATTTGTGCGATCCCACGGATGGTGCTGGGCTATGCGGAGTGAAGTCAGCCTGATTTTCTGGTGCCGCCATCTTGGGTTCTTTAAAATATTGTGTCAGTGAGCTCGATTTAGTTGAGGGGGTTTTCTCTACTGCCCCCTGGGGTTGGTTCTGCCTTTTGGGTTACTCATTTTTGTTTTGGGTCTCCAATTATGTTGGATTTGTGACCGGGTCTCTGGGAGCTGAATTAGTGCACGTACATTCAGTCCACAGCTAGCCACGCTCCTCACACTCTCCTTTTTTATGCTATGGTTTGAATTGGATATTTTTTAAAAACTTTTGACTTTGATTGTAGTGACTCTTAGGTATCAATTTGTGCAAAAACCTTGCTAGAATGCATGAAAACAACTTCTGGCCCGCGCTTAGGGACGACATGGAGAGATAGTGCAATCGAGAAATTTCATGGTTAGGTAGGATCAATTCGGTTAAAATGAATATACTTCCAAAAATATTATATTAGAGCTATACCCCTTACTATTCCTCTATCATTTTTTAGAAAAGTTCAGTCTACCCTTTTGACATTCATTTGTAATAGGAAACCAGCAAGAATCAAGTTATTCATATTGCAACCTGGGGTATGTGGGTATGGGTTTGCCAGACTTTGCTCATTATTATCACGCTACCAACGCAGCTGCTGTATTAAAATTTAATTTAGATACTGGACAGCCCCAACAGCTCGAGATGGAGATAACAAACATTTTCCCACATCTCATTAAAGAAATAGTATGGCTTCCTCCATCTGGACGACCACGTTACATAAATATGTTCCCATCCACCAAAATGACTTTAATATCGTGGAACATATTATATAAAACAAATTAAACCCTTTGCAATTTGGTCTAGGGCAATAGGACAACTCCAATATCAGTTTTAATTCATGACATCCCTGACTTAGATTTAGATTACTGGACATCACATTCCATCACACACTGATAATTTCTTTACATTAAACAAAATTTGCAAATTTGACCAATTGAAAAACAAAATTTGATTTGAACATGTCTGATGAAATAATATACAACAAAATAATTAATCTTATTATTGTTAATTGTTGCCTTTCAGGATGGGATCCGAACCAAAGTAAACTGGAATTATCAAAATTAGAAAAAACATACTATTCGGATCTTGCTCGGAAAGCCATTTCTATATGCTACACTCATTTGGCCGGGGAACTGAAAAAAAACTTGATTCAATGATAAAATGGGAGGTAGAACTGGGTAAAACATTTAACCCCTTAAGAACACAACTTCTGGAATAAAAGGGAATCATGATGGAATATATCAGTCATGTGTCCTTAAGGGGTTAACATCACAGAATGGATTAACTTTGTTAATGCATTGAGGGGTATAACACAGTGTGTGGCACATTCAGAGTCCCATTATAAAATGTTATACCATTGGTACCAGATTACACAAAATGAATTTATCACATACAAATACATGCTGGAGGGGGTGTGAAGACAGGGGATCTTTGTGTCACATGCTGTGGTCGTGCCCTGAAATTAGACCTTATTGGAATTCAATACCTAAATTAATTAAAACTGTTGACAATTCAATTGATAATTTGACACCAGAGTTTTGTCTCTTCAAGCAAATCCCCTTAAATTTACCAAATTATAATAAAATTATACTAGGCCATATTCTAATTTCTGCAATGACAATTATCACACAACACTGTAAATCTATTAAATCACCACACATAAATGTGGTCACGCAATACATATTTGAAAATAGACATTGCAAACTAGTTTTCCAATTACCAACACAAAAAACTGAAATGTTAAAAACAAGAGTGACTTGTATGGGAAGAAAACATCAGAATTAATTATAATCTTATTTTGCAGTCTGTTCCTGACCGGATGATTGAAAATATGTTGTATATTTGATTGTATATATGAATAAAATGTATATAAACTGATAAGTTATTACTCGTATCCCACTGGATGATTGTACTTATAGAGTTTATGCCCTGTTTTATTATTATTTTCTGTATTAATTAATATTATTATTGTATCTTATTGTGTAAATGTTTACATTGTTATTTGAAAAATCTTCAATAAAAATATTTGAAAAAGAAAAACACAGACAGGAACTCTATCCTGCAACAACAAAGTTTCCATCCACCTCATATATTTAAATATGTGCCTTATACTCACTTCTTTTGTGTTCTCTGCAACTATTCGATTACTGAACAAATGACAGATCAGATACAAGAAATATATGATCAATTCCTAGACAGAGGGTACTCCACTTCAATATTAACCACACAACCAAAGAAACCATGAATTGCACTAAGGAACAGATACAGTCACTAAGGAATAACAAGAAGGAAGTTCCCAGACTTCAGTACAACACTCAATACCCAACAGCATCAGAATATTCTTCTCAGACAGTTAAGGCACAGTGGAAAATTCTTTTCAGTGATAAATCTCTCCCTAGGGACTTAAAATATCCTCATATGTTCAGCTTTGTATGAGGACGCAACATCAGAGATATGGTGGTAATGAATGATCCAAAACTGCTTTGAAAAAAATGTGTTAAAAAACAAAACAGCTAAATTGGGATGCTTCAAGTGCACAAGATGTGTCACACGATACAAAGGAGGACTTTCATGCATCCACACAACAACAAACGCTACGAGAGCAATCACCACATCACTTGCTTAACGGATCATGTGATATATAAAATCACATGCCCATGTGGGTAACACTACGTTGGCAAGATGGAGCTAACCCTAAGAGACCGTATGCAAGGACATTGTTCAGCAATGAACACTGCCTACTGCAATGGATACACTGAAAAAACAATGGCAAAACCCTTTTAGAGATGGGACATTCATTAGCAACATTAAAGTTTATTGGTATTGACACAGTACCACCATTGCCCAGAGGGGGTGACAGAGCTTGTTTACTCCTACAGCAAGAAACCTTCTGGATAAAGATTTTAAACACGGTAGCCCCATATGGTTTGAATGAGTACATTTCTTTTCTATCTTTTCTGATGATACGTTAAGTAATTGCTAAACATTGTTGGTTCTAATAGAGTTAGTATTAGGGTGCTACCAATTTGCAACATTTGTCACTATAATTGCTGATTCATTAAGTAATTTCTAAAAATCACTAGGTTCACCATGTTGCTATTAATTTGCAACATTTGTTATTATAGTGCTGCAATAGATCACTTTCTTGAAGTCATTGAAAAGCTAGCTATGTTTATTTAAAACATTTTTTTGTATAGTAATATAAAATCTCTAAAGTAATATAACATTAGTCTGTATATTTTTTGCAGATACATACATTAATTTCTAAAAATCATTAGTTTTTATAGTCAGTATTATATTGCTACCAATTTGCAATATCTGTCATTACAATTGTAGATTCATCAAGTAATTCTTAAAAATTACTCGCCCCACTAATTTACAACATTTGTTAGTACAGTGCTACACTGAATTGCTACTTTGAAGTCATTTAAAGGCTAGCTCTGTTTGTCTAAAAAATTTTGTATAGTAATATAAAATCTCTAAAGTAATATAACATTAGTCTTTATATATTCAAGATATTATAATGTTCTACCAGATATCTCAGAGGTTCAACTATTTGTGGTGTACTATCTGTAGATTCATAATAGGTATATATCTTTATTTATATATGGAAATATCAGATACGCAAGCAGTAACATAAGTATACATCACTGTAACAAATATTAGTCCAACTTCTCTAGAATCTAATATATAATTATTGTTTTAACATCACTTTGAATAGGGTATACGCAGGTGTTTGCTTTAGAAATCATTCTTATCTAATATAAATATAATATTTTCACTGTTCATTGATTTCCATCAGGTCAGACAGTGGTAAAATAGAACACTGAGCATCTTTATACTATTTTGTCCTTTAGAACTTTTTTACATTATTCACATTTTCAGCAGGTAGCCTTATCAAGCTACACTGCTGATTATGCATACCTGCAATTTCCGGTTTAGACTCTCATGGTGGCGGGACACAAACAGGTAGAGTAAGTTAATCAATTAACCATTATATTGTGTATATTATATAAATATTGTATTGTACTGGTGTATTCTGTCTTGAGAAAGGATCAAGAACAGATCTGAAACATTGATGCTACACTAATAAATTTGCTAATTTTTGTTCACTAAATACGACCTGTGAGTGCCCACTTTTCTTTGCTGAAATATTTGGATATATATTGGTTCCAGCGTGATGCACCAAGGCATTACAACATTTCTTTTGGAAAAGCAATTGGAGAACAGTGAGTGCCCTCATCCCTATATTGTATATTGCATTTATAATTTGAAATTGTTTTGCATCTCTACATATCATAAATATCCTTTAGAGTGTAACATATTCTTTACATTTACACTTAACGTTGTAGGAAGAAATAAAAAACTGATGCCTTTACAATAAATAGGTAAATTTGTTCCAGTAAAAATAAAATAAATACAGCTTAAACATTTTAAAGGTTTTGCAGGATGCCAAATTATAGAAGTAATGTTCACTTAAAAAAATAATAATTTGAGTTATATTTTGTTGTAATTGTGTTTTTCTATTCAATTAAAACTGTATGTGTGCCAAGAACCATATATATATATATATATATATATATATATAGAGAGAGAGAGAGAGAGAGAGAGAGAGAGAGAGAGAGAGAGAGAGAAATTTATTCCCATCATAAGTATAGATCAACTCATCCTTGAAAACATAAGGGTATGATAGCAAAATGGATAAAGTCTTTGTGTACTTGGGTTGAAAACTGAAATGTAGGGATACATTGCAGAGTTGAAAAACAAAAAAGAAAATCTTTGGTTCAGTATTTTCCAGAGTAGGTAAACATTTTTGTTCCAGTAAAAATAAAAGAAAAAATGTTTATTTTTATTTTGTTTTTCTATCTAACTGCAAAGGAAATAATAAAATAAATACAACCTAAACATTTTAAAGGTTTTGCAGCAAGCCAAATTATATATGTAATGTTCAATTTAAAAATAATTTGAGTTATATTTTTGTTGTACTTGTGTTT